GCCACCCAGGCGCGCTGGAGTTTAAGTCAAGGAGACAAGGATGCACGTTTTGTGAGCAAAGACGCAGACCAAAAGCCCAGCTGGGGGGCGTGGGGGCCACCCGCCTTGGCTGGAGAAGAGTCGCAATGGGTGGGAACGTGGGGGACCTGGGGGGCCAGGTCCCTGGGGGCCTCGGAAGTCAGGCACTGGACCAGACACACGGGGGTAACCCACCCATCTCGCAGACAGCCGAACCCTGAACGTCGGCACAGGGCCAGGAACAGCCCACCTGCAAGGATGAGGAACAGGTGCAGAGCCAGCATCGTCACCTTCTGCAGAGTCGCCACGGCTTCCGGGGGTTTCCGAGGCTGCTGGAAAATCCGACACATGGCAACACTAAAGAAAACAATAGACAGTGGCCTTAACGGGTGAAAATCAGCGAGCCACATGCATCCTTCACGCACGCGACAATAAATGGTAACTCTACGCCTGCAACTCTCGGTCCAGACACACAAATAGCCGTCTACACCTCGAGGAAACATGGAGTCTCCCGCCGTAGTTCGAAGCATCCACCCTGTGGCCACTAAGCCGGATATCCACCCTCTCCTTGTCTCGATCCATTCTCAAACGGAAGGGGGTAAAGGATCAGAGGGTGGCAAAAATGAGAAGCACAGGAGAAGGGCAGCGGAAAGAAATCTCGCGGTTGACCGTTTACGTGTGGAGAATTCACTGCAACGGATGAATCTGTATAGACGTGAGATTCTTACCTCTGAACAAATGCCTAAGGTTGTGGGGTATGTAGCATGTGTGTGTACACGTGTGTGCACGGGTGTTGGGCTTTACTGAGTCCACTTGGAGGGGTTGGAATAACACAGACCGAACCAAAGTTTTCATACGCTGCTGTGATGTGAGTCCTGACCACTGAATTCTCCTTTTCTTTTTTGGGGTTTATGTTCATTTTTTTTAGTTTATTTATTTATTTTGAGAGGGAGAGAGAGAGAGAGAGGGAGAGAGAGAATCCTAAGCAGGCTCCGAGCTCTCAGCACAGAGCCTGATGCGGGGCTCAAATTCACAAACCGTGAGATCATGACCTGAACCGAAGCAGGATGCTTAAATGACAGCCATCCAGGCTCCCCCGGTTTTTTCTCTTGTGACGCAAGTGCCTGGCTCAAACTTTAACTGCCAACATGTCCGTCTACCTCCAATGTGTTTCAAAAACACACATTACCAGCCACGCCACACTGAGGCACCTTGGTTTTCGAGATCTTGGATGATTTTTCCAACTGACCGTTCGAGCTGCTTGCTTTTTCTCCTCCCATGCTTCAAATCTCTTCTGTTTTATTTTTTTATTTTTTTAAATGTGTGTTTATTTTTGAGAGAGTGAGAGAGACAGAGCAAGAGCAGGGACAGGCAGAGAGAGAGGGAGACACAGAATCCGAAGCAGGCTCCAGGCTCTGGGCCGTCAGCACAGAGCCCGATGCGGGGCTCCAACTCATGAACCATGAGATCATGACCTGAGCCAAAGTCGGACCAACTGAGGCATCCAGGTGCCCCAAATATCTTCTGTTTTAAATTCACCAACAGAGACTGAGCCTACAATACCCCAGGACCCCACCCTCAGCCCCAAATAAAGCGGAACCCCCAGCCTGCACTCTTTCCACACGTGACCTCCTTTTGTGACCCCACGTGGGCTGTGGGATTTCCGGAACTCGTAAGTCACAAACCATTACTTTTTCAGAGTCCCCTGGGCTCGCTGCTGAGGCCGTCACGCAACCACAGGGCTGGTCCAGCCACAACGGTGGTTCTCGAAGGGCTGTGCCAGCACACAGCGGCAACCCTGCTCACTTCTGCCGTCACACTGCTGACAAAGTGGGCCCAGGAATTCACATTTGCCTCTTGTTTCTTTTTTAACCCCAAATGGCTTTTGTCTCACTCTTAGATGAGCTTATACTCTTCCCACAATTCAAAGCCGTCCTCCAAATCAGACACAACCGAGCAGATAAACAACATCATCTGTGAGGCACTTCTAAAAAAATTGAACAAAGTGTGCTTCCATCTATTCCTTCCTCCCCCCGCCATCCCCCACGTGGGTGACATTAACTGATTAACGGCACACCTGCCCAAAGAAATTCCCTGAAATTCCTTGAAAAGAAATATGCGAGATAAGGTCTGGAGATCGATTAAAAATGAAAGAAGAAAAGCATCTTGGATTCTGAGACCTCTGTGTTGAGTCACCCACTCTGGGACACATGCTGCTGGGGCAGACACGGAGACGTCACATCTGAGTAAATGCCACATTCAGAATTCTCCAGAACACCGTGGCAACCAAACCCTTTGGGGGGGGGGGGGCAGGGGTTTAATGCAACTCTGTGTTTTTACAGCATCTTGTTTTAAATTTACTTTCCCCAGGCATGCCTGGGTGGCTTAGCCAGTTGAGCATCTGACTTCAGCTCAGGTCATGATCTCACGGTTGGTGGGATTGAGCTCCGTGTCGGGCTCTGCACTGACCGCATGGCGCCTGCTTGGGACTCTCTCTCTCTGTCTCTCTCTGTTCCTCCCCCACTACTGCTCTCTTTCTCTCTCAAAAAAAAAAAAAAAAAAAAAAAAAAAAAAAAAAGTCAGGCAAGTCAGACCTCAAACCCATGACCAATGGGATTACCTGTTTGGGGCACTTGAGGTCTTCCCCATTGAAGAAGCCGATGTTAGAAAGAGTGAAAACAGAGAGAAGAGAGGCACGTAATCACCAAGCAGGAGGACGCTGGGAACCCAGCCTTGTGACTCTACTGACAAAGTGGTGACCACACAGCCGGTTCACAGCCAGTTGGTTTCCAGTCTCAGGATAAATTCCCTCCCTGGAGAATGGGAAACGTCAGATGAAAACTGGGGTTGGTGAAGAGGGCTTGCCAGGACCACCCCCAGCTCAAACGGAGATTCAGGGCAGCTTGTAAAGTCCCCTTCAGCATAGTCTGGGACCAGAGCCAACGCAAGGATGAGGCAAGGGCCTCCAAAGCCAACACGCAAATATTGAAGCAGTGACAGGCCTTCATGCCGGGAGGCCCCTATTTAACTAACCAAGGAAACCCTTCCAAGCTCTAAAACGTGGCCATAGCAGCAGGACCAGCAGGAAACAGGTCAAGCTCTCTGGCAGGTGAGCGAGGGTTTGAGGGCACCTCCAATCTCTTCGTGAGACTAAGAGAAAGGTAGGAACAGGCAGGGACTGGGGACGATCCACACGGTTCCATCACACACAGGAAGGACGGACTGGGACAAAGCAGAGTCTCTGAGGCTGCACTACCCAGGGCACAAATCCTCCAACCTGAGGGAGCAGAAGCTTCCAGAACATAATGAGTAACAGGACGGGAGCAAGGCCCCCCCTGACCTGCCTCTCAGGGATAGAGGCACTGCTTGGAAGTGGATCAACCATAGTGCTGGGTTGAATCTAGAAAGTCAAGAAGCTGGGGAGCCTGGGTGGCTCAGTTGGTAGAGCATGAGACTCTTGATCTCGGGATTATAAGTTCGAGCCCCACGTTGGGTGTAGAGATTACTTAAAAGTAAAATCCTTGGGGCCCCTGGGTGGCTCAGTCCATTGAGCATCCGACTTCAGCTCAGGTCATGATCTCACAGTTTGTGGGTTCAAGCTCCACATCGGGCTCTGTGCTGACAACTCAGAGCCTAGAGCCTGCTTGAGATGCTGTGTCTCCCTCTCTCTCTGCTCCTTCCTTGCTCATGGTCTGTCTCTTTCTCTCTCAAAAATAAATAAACGTTAAAAAAATTTTTAAACAAAAAAGCAAAATCCTGGGGGCCCCTGGGTGGCTCAGTCAGTTAAGGGTCCAACTTCAGCTCAGGTCATGATCTCATGGTTCATGAGTTTGAGCCCGGCATCGTGCTGTCAGTGTAGAACCCACTTTGGATCGTCTGTCCCCTTCTCTCTCTGCCCCTTCCCCGCTCTCACTCTCTCTCTCTCTCAAAAATAGATAAATAAATAAACATGACAAAATAAAATAAAATCCTTAAAGAGGGAAGAAGTCAACAGCTTCCTGGCCCTTTCCAGGGATGGTTACAACTGAAAGCAAGATTTTCTGCATGGTGCGCATAGCCTTATAATCTCATTTGCCTGTCACACGGTAATGACCTTTGGCAGCCAGAGCACATGAAGAGAAAAGCTGTGTCTGTACCTAGCCTGGGACGAGTGAATGGAAGAAGAAGTTTTTACTGTTGAAAATGAAAGCATGTACTTTCACACAGCATTTAATAAACCCAAAGCATATTTGAATGCCAAATCATGGGTCAGGTCGTGAAGACACTGGACAGACACCAGCGTGCTATCAAGTTAAGTCGAGAATCATACTTAACCTGGTTTGAGGTCATTCCTGCGCAGTCCTGTTTTGTAGTTCCTGCAATGGGGCAAAAAGGAAGTGAGTCAGGCGTTTTCTTACCTTTGATCCATCAGTGGGACCTCTTGCCAGCACTCCGTCAATGCAATTAGTTCCTTCAGGTACTTCTCGAAACTTGATAGCGGTTTGAGGATGTAAGGAAAATCAGCCATCACCTCCTCGATGCTCTCTTCTTTCCCCGATGTGGTATTCTTTCCAGTGGCTGCATTAATAAAACTCTCAAAGATGGGCTGGAACAATGTTCTCATGGAATCTACCCACTGAGAGTTGTTCAGGGGAAATTCTTTTCTCAAGAGAGCTATTCTCCTTAACATGATCTGGACTGATTGCTCGAGTTGTTGACGAGTTACATTCGGAATCAGAGATGCGTTGGAAAACAAAGCTTCGCTCAGATCACCTGTTCCACCAGAGACCTCCCCAGCTGTCTCTATGGCTTTCAGAAGGTCATCTGGATGTTGAACCAATGTCAGCAACAGATTAAAGACAGACCTGTTATCCTTCTCTAAGTTACTCCAAAGAGCTTCCAAGGTGAGATCAATCGCCATTCTCAAGTACGTCCCTATTTCCGTGCTGTCTCGTGATAGCATTTCATCCAAAAACAGGATCACTTCCTGGGTTCTTTCCCATTTAGTACCTTGAGGGCAACAATGAGTGGGGAGTGGACGAGGGTGCAAGAAGTCTATCTGGTTGATGATACTACTTATAGGAACGAAGCAATCCAAAATTTCTTCCCATAGGTTGACAGAATCCATATGGAATATTTGAGTTGCGTTATTAAAAGCTACCAGAAGAAGCTCCATAGCCCCCAAGTTGATTTTCACGGAAGTTAAAAATTCAGCAATTTCTTCCGAAATATCAGAAAAGTCCTTGGACTGGTTCACATGAGAGAATGTGCTAGATGACGTGTTGACAATATCAGAGTCTTGTGAAATATTAGGTGTGACGCCAGTCATCCCAAAAGCCAAGTCAAGAAACGGCGTCAACAAGTTGTTTATCTTTTCAGATGGGAAACGGTCTACGTTTTTCAAAGTCATTATTTCATTCACAGCATTTCGAACACTTTGTTGCAAAACAGAATAGAGACTGTCAAAGAATTTCACGGTGTCATTGGCACTAGAGATGAAATGGGCTTCAAAAATAGTGGCCACCTTCCTGGAAACCTTCTGGGCTAGCCTGACCAGTTCCACGGCGGAGTTCACCGAGGAGGCAAGATCTCTCATGTCGGCAATGTCCCGCACCAGCAAGGTCATGGTGTCAGTCATTTCCAACAGGGGCTCCGGGGCACCACTTCCTCCACCAGCTCTTGAGAGAACACCAAGGAATCTCTTGGTCATTTCTAACGTTGTCCTGTTCCTTAGAGGGAATGAATTATTGATAAAGGAAAGCAGACCAGTGAGATTAGCAAGTATGACTTCTCGGAGTGCGGGATACACGTTACGGAAGCCTCTGTGAGGAGAGTGGGTGAGCGCGTCCATGAGCCGTGCTAGCTCTGTGGAAGTTTCTCTCACAAGCTGAAGGGCTGACCTGAGATCGTGATTGAGTTGGAAGAGGTCTTCAGAACTGTTCCCGTGGCGGAGCAAGTGACTCACAACCATAAGAAACTCCAAATTATCTTCCGACTTGTTTGTCCCCGAGGTTTCCCTTGGAAGAGCACTAAATAAATCTCTCATGAACTTCAGTCCTCGATGAATATCAAAATGAAATTGTCCATTGTCTAAAATAAACGGCCTTTGGATGAGATGATGTATAGCGTCCTTTAAACTTGAGAAAATGCTCATCAGTCTGTCGTCTTTCAAGATGGTAAGAAATTGATCCAGTGACAGAATTTCTAGAATTTTATCCTTTGGGACAAAGCTATAAATAAATGTGTTTTAATTTCATGTTCAGCCGTGGGAAGATTAAAACCTAGAGTCACATTTTGGCTGTACAGGAGCATCATGGGGGAGTCACACAGTCTGCAAGACAACATGCTAACACACCTTCCAGAAGGTGCCATTATGTGGCACCAAATAATGAAAAGGGTGGAGAAATTTCACGCATAGTCCCATCAGGATGCCTCAAACCTAGTCATTTCAAAAGGCACATACTTTGGCTTTTTAGAAAAGACAGGAAGGTGAAATCAATAAAGTGCCTCTCGCTGCAAAAGGGAACATCTTCCCGAACGTTCAAAGTCCTAGCAAATGGGTCAGATAGGTGATGGCTGTGATGCATCAGAGTAGCTAGGCTGAGCGACAGCGTAAGAATCTCTTTGCCATGAGCTGTGGGTCTCCATGAGTGACAGTGTCTTCCCTCATGACAGTGAAGGATAAAGGGAAGTGGCCAGTTTGCAGCATAAACACTAACCCAGGTGCCATTGGGAAGCGATTTTACAGGTGCAATTAAAGCCCCTGGTGAGTAAACTCTGACTCAGTAAGACAGGATATCGTCCCGGGGGTCTGACTTCATCGGTTGGAGGGCGTTCAGGGAGGTTGGAGGGTGTTCAGGGCGGGCGTTAAACTTCCCTGACCTAGCAACCCCAAATAGCCCCTGCCTGCCAGTCACCTCCCCTCACCCTTGACTGCCTCCTGCAGACAGTAATTTCCTCCCCATGCTATTCTGCCTGCTTCTAAGCGTGCCTTCCGGACGGCCCATTCTAGTGACTTTGCACCTGCTTAGCTGGCCACTGAAAGCACAGAAGCCAATCCTTGAATTAAATCCTTGTTCTGGTTCTATTTCTGTGGCTGAGCCCTGACTGACACAGACGTCACAGAATGAATTAGAAATTCCCTCCAGCCTTCTCACTGGCAAGCTTCGAATAGAATGAAAACAAAAACAAAAACAAAACAAATAAAAAGGATATATGAAAAAAATTTAACGTGACTCTCGGTTTTAAAGTTTTAGAATTTTGGGGTGCCTGGGTGGCTCAGTCAGTTGAGCATCTGATGACTCTTGATTTCAGTTTAGGTCATGATCTCTCTCAGTTAAGGGGTTTGAGCCTTGTGTCAGGCTCTGTGCTGACAGTGTGGAGCCTGCTTGGGATTCTCTCTCTCTCTCTCTCTCTCTCTCTCTCTCTGCCCCTCCCCTGATTGTGCACACGTTCTTTCTCTCTCTCTCTCCCTCTCTCTCTCTCTCAAAATAAATAAACTCTTTAAAAAAGCATTTAAAGTTTTAGAATTTCCTCAATTCCAAATATAAACATCACAGGAGATCAACTGGAATAAGAATATTTAAACCCCTCACTTGTGATGAGACAGTTAATACATCGATTCAATTATGACCGTGTATATGCATCTACATATATAAGAAATAGGGCTTAAGTTCCACATAAAATAGAATTTCATAACTATTTTCATAACCCAAGAATGTAAGAAAGCATAAGCAATTAATTGCCAGGGGCTAGGTTTCTATAACGTGTTTCCTACTTAGATGACAATCATCAAAATTATCTCAGCTTGAAACTTTAATAAAATGTCCTTTAAGACAAAATTCATGCCAAAGGTCACTCGTAGGTGGTAGGTACAAATGCTGTCACTGATGTTGACACGCTCAGGAAATAAAGCAGATTGTAACGTGTGACAACCGCATTTACTATACCAAGCAAAAGTAAACTCACCTCATCTCTGCAGCGATGTCTTTGTGGAAGGCCTTCAGCAGAAGAGATAGTCTGTTCTCAGAATTTTCCTCCAGTAAAAATGAGAAGAACGTTTGCAAAAGCTGTTCCATGAAATCCACTGCACTTCTTGGAGGGAGGATTATGCCGGCACCATTTCCTGAAGGAGTCTGGTTCAAGGTGAGGTTAATGAAATTCGTTATCTGAAGGTCAGTATCACTCGAATTTGAGGCTGCCTCCAGAGAACTCCCAGCTAACTTACTGATTGAATTAATTAGGACACTTTCAAAAAGGAATTGAACGAGCGACAAATTAGTTAGCTGCTCTTGGCTTAGCAGTTGTGTCAAATGGGCAACGTCAAGGTCACCTTCCCTAGAAATGGCTTTGAGAAAACCCAAAAAGGTAGCAAAATCTTTGATCCACAGAGCTGTATCATCAGTTGCATTCTTGTTGGCTGTCAGAAGAAATAACGTCTCAATCATTCTAGAGTCATGTTTGTTTGCACGTTTATGGAGCCAGTTTTTCATGCCCAATAGAAAATCTTCAATGATTTCTGATGTTTTCAGTGACAAGGACCCCAGGCTTTCAAACACACGGGCAAGTTGCAAAGTTATATTATGAACAGTCTCTGAATTGATCATTTGAATTTCTTTGTTAATTTCAGAAACCAGGTGTCTGATAGGAAAGTCGTGGCTTAGCTCTGTCATGATTTGTTCAACCTCAAGCCACAGTTCCTCAAAGTAAGAAGAGTTATAAGTCACTTCACTTGTTTTAGTAAAGCTTGGTGCTTCTAAACCACTGTCCGTCACGTTAGCATCCAGAAACATCACAAATGGAGAGTCTACAGAATGGGCACCATTTTCTAGGTGCCGATCCCCAGAAGGCAATTTCATGATCCTTTCCAAATTTAAGGAAATCTTATTTTGAACAGATGCCTCTGTGCCTTCGTTAATGTTGAGGATCTTGCTTAAATTGGCTAGTGTATCAAGAATCTTTTCATCTGGTGCAACTTTTGTAAAGCTAACACTTTTCAGTGTTGCTATGATCTGCGAAGCAACTTGCTTTAGGGGGCCGTGGGGACAAAGTTCAGAGATGCCACCGTTGCTTTGATTTCCAGAAGACGGGACAAACGGTAACACTTTATGCCAAAATTCTCGCATGGTTTTTACAAGTGAAGTTTGAACGTGGAAGACTTCGGACAGCTCTAGAAAAATGGAAGTCCAGTCCACTAGTTCATGAATGACACAGACCATCGTCCTAGAAATCTCCTCCTGTGAGCCTTCATCCGAACATTGTAAACCTCCACCCACGGGAGAGAGGTGGAGCAGGTCGAGTACTCTGGCCACTTTGCGATAAAAGGAAGAAGACGTGAGCTCGTGGGATCTACAGGCTTCTACCTTGGGATCTTGCCTCGATCCAGAAGTCGTGTGATTCCAGCACCAGACCACAGGAAGGCAAGTTAAAGCCTCGGAAAGAATTGCTGGTTTATCTGATATTAATTCCACCGTGTCCAAAAGAGTTTTTAACACAATAGCAAAGTCTTCCTTGGTGATATTTGAGATGCTGATGCCATGAAGGACAGTGAACTTGTAGACATCCTCGAGGATTTCTGTGATGTTTTTGTCAACTCCTCTCTGCAGGAGCTTCACAGCATGAGGAAGCACGTAGTAGGCGTCTACCACCGCGTTAACGTCATCCTTCGGGAACAGGCGTGAGAGCTTGAGCAGGTGATTGACATTCCAAGAATGTGAGCTGTCCACAAATTTTTCCAGCAAGCCAACAAGCAGGTTGGCCCCCAAACGGCCAGGACCCAATCTACTGACGTTCTTAAAGAAATCGGTTAGCGCTTCATTCATTTGTACAAGTTGGTCGACCAGTAGGTCTATGTCTGGCTTCTTGAGAGTACGCAGGAGAGAAGTTACCTTCTTGAACACTTGACTATTACCTGCATCTCGTGGAATGTTGTGAAGAACTGAGGGCGTCAGGGAGTTGAACACATCCCTCATCAGTTGGATACCAAGTCCTACAGCTTTCGTGATTTTGTGCGGACTCATTTGTGGTGGATGTTGGAGATCATAAGAGAAGTTGAAGGCAAGGTAACTGGCTAACTGATATAATGAATTGCCCAAGCTGTTGACATCCTTTTCTTTTAGACTGGTAGCAAATACGTTGAAAAGCTTCTCGGATGTAGAAGAGGAATCACTTTCTAGGATGTGAGTGGAGACAGCCTTCATAAGTTTCTGAACTTCCTTCCCCAGAGCTACTAAATGCAGCCAAAGATTTTTAAATCGGCTAGGTAAGTCATCTGACATTTCTTTGGGTCTTAGAACGAATCCAGTAAAACGTTTCCAGTGGGATTGAGATACAAAATCAAAGTCTCTTGTCAAGTTGTTGATAATCATCCTTACTTGGTCTGTGGAATCATTTAAAAGAGTTAATAAAATCTCTAATTTAGGTACCTTTTCCTCTTCAAAGACTTCAGTGAGTATCACATTTAGGAAATCGGTTACATTTTTCAATACAGTATTCACACAATCTGGATCTGACATGTTGAACGAACAATGAGGGTCCTTTATATTCAGCATTCCAGTAACAAGCTTCAATGTAGAGTTAATTTTGTTCTCTACATCTCTGAAACTCTTCCAAATACCCCGAGGATAACCTTGTGAAACACTGGAGTTATACATCATGTACAGATGGTTCATGATATCTACCCATGCAACGCACCCCTTCCGTCTGCTGCTTGTGTCCTCGGAGGAAAATGTGGAATTTAACATGGCCAGAATATGTAATGTCCTCTGTGAGATATTTACATATAATAAGCCATCTTCCAAAATAAACTCGGTAACATTTTGGAAAATATTGGCACAGGACAATAAATCTTGGTCACGTGACACATTTCTAAGCAATAACATTGTTTCTCTTAGCTCCTTGATGACACTTTCAAACTTCATTCCATGATTTGTGAGGTTATTTGAAAGAAAGTGATTTAACAATTGTACATCTCTGTCGATGTATTCTGAGGTATCGCTTAACTCCATGAAAACATCAAGCAGAGAATATAAAAACTCTCTGCTGGCATTTGTGTTTAATGGAAATGTCTTTAGCTGACTCAGGGCAGTCTCCATGGTGAAAAGGGATTTCTCTACTTGGTCGGGGTTAAGTGACTTTACACTAACTAAGGCATCACCCACTACTACCCAAAGATCCCTGAGACTCAAAAACTCATCCCAATCATGAAAGCCATCAGCTTGGGTTACATTTTTAAACAAATTCAGTATGAGTCTGGCGGGGTGGTGGGTAGGAAACATTCGTTGGCAGCTTTTAGAAACTTTCACATCACCTTCCAATTCATCCAGAAGCTGAGTGAGGCCATCATGAAGAGGAGTGAAAATATTCACGCCAAACTTGAATATCTGAGATATGCTTCCCCAGATATCAGTCCACATTTGGAGCCACGAGACGGTGCAGCGAACAGCCATTAACTCATTGAACACACTGCCATTCGCGGACAGGTTTGAAAGAATTTGTGCCCATGGAAGAATAAATGAAGACCCTCTGTCTGTTGAATAATTCACGGAAGAAACGTTTTTACTATCCAAAGCAAAGCATTCATTACCCAAAAGGGCTTCTACTGATCCGTTGAAGAACTGGCTCATGTACTGAAAGAAAGAAATACGGAAATCCTCGTTGGCCACGAGCAGCTGTTTGAGACCTGTCAACGTAGCATGAATCACTTCCAATTCGGGGCCCTGTGTAGACACCAGGGATCGGGCCTGAAGTTCCAAGTAGTTAAAAAATGAAAGCAACTGCTGACAATAAGATCCCTCCGAAATTCCCTCGAGAACCCCTGTTGTCTCATATAAAAATGCAAATGCTTCACTGATGTTCTGGAAATGAAATTGCTTTATGATATCCAAAATGTGTTTTGAGATTTGTGCAAGGGAGGGTAGCAAAGAGTCTGTGCCCTGAATGCTCAAGAATTCAGACATGGATTGGAACCAGGAAGAATAAATCTGCAGAAGCAAAGCTGAATCTTTGTCCTGGAAGACGCTGAGATAGAGCTGAGTCAAGATTTTAGCAACTTCTCGTTTTTCAGGTTCAGGAAGGGCTGAGAAACGCTCAGACAGGTTCCGTAAAGCGCAGACTACGTCCAGAGCCTCTGAGACTTGGCCCTGCCTCAGAAATCCGAATTCATAGAGGCTGCTTAGGACCGTTTCACATAAATGTACAAAGTCCATTTTCACAGATGGCGATGGAGGCCAATCTGAATGGAACAACTGAGAAAAGTTAAAGCTTTTGCTAAGAACCCTCTCGTCTTCTGGAACAGAAAAGTTAAGACCTGTAGTCAAGGTCTCCAGTGTGTCTCTTTCCCCTTTTGAAATTCCATCCGTCCACAACTCCAGGAGCTTGGGATTCATTTCAGAAAGTACTAATTCCATAAATCTCAAAATATCATGTGATTCCTTCTCTGTCCAGAGACGTTCAAGAGCTTGTGCTCTTGCGATCACTGCTTTGCCAAGTTCCAGAAGTTTCTGAGTATCAAGAGCAGATGGGTCTCTCTCTAAACTTCTTGAATGATTTACCCACAAATGGCTTGTGTTCAGAAGAGTCTTGGTGGGAGATGGGCGGTCACGGGACTTGGGAACCCGGGGCGAGTCGAAAGGATTAGGCAATAATTTCTCCAGAAATCCCACCAGCGATAAAAAAAAGTGCATTTGCTCGTCCTCCGGGGAATGCAATCTCTTTTCCATCAGGAGAAGTTCCTTGGAGGAATTCAAGATCCTAAAAGATTAGCAGAATTGTTTTAGTATCCAAAAATAAATTAATAAATAAATTCAAGACAAATTCAATTTATCAACTTTTCAGGGTAATACTCAGACTTATTTAGAGTAAAACATAAATGAAGGATTTACCACACAATGTAGGGAATTAAATTAATGTGAGCGCTGGAAGTGTTTTACAAATCCAAAATGCACATACATGTGTTTAGCTTAAAATCTGCTTCCTGCACCAAAAACAATGGATTTTAAGTTACTTTACTCCACGATTTCACATGTAGGATTGTTCAAGGTAAGTTTGCTGTGTATGCTGGAAAAATCTCAGGTTTTGATTCCTTATAGTGTCTCACAATGTCTTGGCTGTAGGCGGAGTCCAAATGGCAGAGTGTGTCAGAAACCTCCCCCTATGATTTATGGATGGACGACTGTTGGAATTGCCTGTTCCAGAAGCAATTCCTGTGTTCGTTAAACAATGCTGGCACTTCCCACTATTAGAAACTCATTAATTTAGATAGTGTACTTTCTCTCCAGGGGTTAACTTGTAAAATGCAAGGAGTTCTCAAAGGAGCAACTCAGGGGTTATGACAAAGTCCACACTCGCAAGAGAAATCCACACTTGGAGGGGAGCCTGGGTGGCTCAGTTGGTTAAGCGTCTGACTTCA